TCACTTCTCCAGTGCATGACATCACAACCACACTCCATTGTCTCCTCCCCATTGGTCCAAGGCTCAGGTGCCTCCTGGTGGCCAACCAGCCTCTCTACGCCCTGCTTGGAGTCGGAACCCTGTCCAGGGTCCTCCACATCCTCCAGAGCCAACTCATAGGGCCCCTCGCTGTCAGAGTCTGGTGGCAGCTCCAACGGCTCCTGCTGGGCAGATTTCTAACTTCAATAAAAGAGAACACAATTTCATCTATTGCAGTGGCTCTACCAGACTGATCCCTTAGTAGAAAGGACACAATTTCCGACTGAGGCCAGCCCAAGCATCTGATGAAAGGATTCAGGTATAACACAGGGTGGGCAACTCAGCAGGACAAGCACATGTCATCCAAACAGATGCAAAGGCATTCTTGAATAGGAATATGATGCCCCTCTGTTACCTTTGAACAAAGGGCGCCAAATCTTGCCAGAGTGAGCACCCTTGGGGCAGACCAAAGTTGAACTAAGCAAGCTTAACATGCTGATGTAGATGCAGATCTTTAACTAACTTGGTTCAGCATGGATGTGATCCCAGCTGCCACACCGCCATGGAAGACTGACGGGCACGATATGCAAAACCAGCACTGCATAAGCAGTATCTGCACACACACCCCTGGCTGCTTTGCCCCCCATTTAGAGAATCCTCCTCCTCTACTCCTTCTCATACCAGTACTCCTCTTCGGCCAGAGCCATGACTTTTTCATACTGGGGCCCAGGCAGCTGATTAGCTCCAGGAAAGATGGCTTCATGATGGACAATCAGGCACTTTACCACCTCGTTGATGTGAGGCTGCACCGACACGGCATCCTGGCCTGCAGGTACCGTCACCAGGGTGGGGCCGAAGCAGACAGCTAAGTTGTGGGGGTCCATCATATTCTCATCACTGTACTGGGATAAACTGCAGGAAGAAGAGGGGTGGAGGAAGGCAATGGTGTTCCCTTAGCCAAAGAAAGCTCTCGCCATGGAAATCCTAAGGAGCGGGTTTACGTGCCACACGGTGCCCGAATACTCACTGGTTGAGGAAAGCAAAAAGGTACCGCAGAACCACCAACACTACCGACGGAAGCTGGGAAATGAGAGCCCGGAGGTGTGAGATGCGATCAGCTAAAGGCTCCAGATCTGGAAAGCAATGGATGGCAGTGTGAGATAGAGGACCATACATTGGATGGATCAGTGCTGGACCACGTGCTTCTGCATCCCCCCCCCAAACCTAGTTAATTCTCATCTTTGGGTATTATAATTCATAACCACTTTGTGCTCCAAAGGAAGAGTGGAAAATGATTTATTCAGTTAGTGCATTGTTAGTGCATGAAGCATTCAACATGTTATTCATTTGTTTATATTTCGTATTTTTAAATCGCCCATCTTCCTCTGTGTTAAGCCATACTCCTCTTCAGAAGTTGACTGCTTCAATTAATAAATCAACAACAGTTGTCATTTAGCAATTGAGAATAGCGACTTCTCCATCTTGCCCTGCAAGAGTTTTAGCATCACCTAAATCTCCCCTTGTTAGTTGAGATTTGAGATTTATTAGATTTATATGCCGCCCTTCTTCCAAGGACTCAGGGCGGCGTACAACAATTAAAAGAAACACATAATACAAAAGTTAAGAAAAAATTAAATGGAATATCTCAAACCCAATTAAAATTGACAATACATTTTTTTAAAAAAACAAATTGAATTAAAATTAACAGTGATCAATGTGTTATTTTGTTTTGTTCAGGCCAGGCTGGCTTGCTGGAAAAGCCAACTTTTTAGGGCACGTCGGAAGGACCGGAGGTC